ATGGCCCTGTAACGTAAATTACAAGAAGTGTGACGTAAATTACTTTTCATTGCCTCTACATTAATCTTTTCTGTATAAAGCACAGGTGTATAAAGTAAGCTGAATATTGAAACATATGGTTTCCTATCAAGTGATAAAGCAGTAAAACTGTGATTGGATCGTGGGGATGTAAATTTAAAGATGTAAACAGAACTAATTTCAGTGTTTGATTATTTATTGATGTAGTTCTTTATATGATACTTGTGAAGCTTAAACAAATGGCTATTGGGATACTCTTCAAAGTAGTGATGTTATTGCATGTGATTCATAATAAAGCATTTATGAAGTCTAATATTAACTGTGAACGTAAATTACATTACTTTATTTGGGATTGTTTGGAAAGTGGCATTATGTTAAATGATGGAATCTATACATTATTGCTTGAATTGTGGTCATCTATTACAGATATTATAGCTAATTCTCAAGCAGAGAAAGAAAGAGAATACAGAGAACATGAAAATCAGAATTGGGAAACAAATGGAATAGAAAAGAATTGGAACGTGTCAAAAGTATTATAAGCAGACCAGTACACTGTTTAGAGCTGAAAAAGAAAAATTAACCGTAGAGAAAGAAACAAAAAGAAATGTCAGAAAATATGGAGAAAATGTAAAAGGCATTCTAGCTACTATGACCCAGAATGAAGCGACTGCAGAAGTTGTTCTACGGGAGCCTGTAGTGACTAAAAAGTCTGATGAGAATGGTGTGTCCAGTACAACACACAGACCAGTGATTTTAAGCTACTAGCTATTATTCATGTACAAGTTTCTGTGTTTTATACGTTCATATACGTCAAATGTTCTTTGGAAACCTCTGCTTTGGTCCTTGCTTATGATAGTATCACCAATGACCATTTATATATAAGTTGCAACTGTTGACTGGTAATTTACGTGACAGTGGTATTTTGATCAGGGTTTATGTGTCTAATGTTCAAGGTCAGGTTAACCAAAAGTTGTTGGTTTCATTAATTAGTTGTCAATTTGGAAAAAACAACTTCTAAATATAGGCATTTAAGAGTTGCACCTTCTGTCATTTGGTATTGTTTATTTGTATCAAAATTAATGAAACATTGTAATTTACGTCACTCAAAAAAAGAATGCGTTGTTATCCAGATGACTGTTAAGATCGTTGGGACCAGCATGTGGGATTGTTGCCTGACAATACAGTATCACAAGGACAGGTGATAATCAAATATGAAACGCAGCAATTCTGTTTTAGCATTATCGATGAGAAAGCATATCAGTTTTAACAATGTCATTTCCTTTCATACCCAGTATAAAAATCTGAAATAATAAAGTACATGCCCGGATGTTCATATTGCTTTTCCACATAGATGACATATGAAACTGTCTATCTTATTCTGCTGTTTTTGAAAATATCAATGTATTGCTAGTTGAAAGGCAGATGGTCATTGGGGCTTGGGTGTCGTCACGTAAATTTCATTGTAACATCAGGGTACAGTAGTATAAAGAGCTGTTGCAGGGTAATTGTCTGTGCCTGAGTGTTGAATATTTAGTAACAGGTTCTCTAATGCTTGTACTTCATGAAAAGTAATGCAATATACCCAACATGAAACGTTTTTTTCCCGCGAGTTTCCACTGGCAATTGTACATTTTAACTGAGAATGGCTGATTAACTATTGTAACATGAGACAACTGGATGTTCTTCAACTACATATAGAAGTCACTTCTGACTGCGCTGTTTATGGGATGAGTGGGTGAGTTGAGTTTAACTCTGAACAATATTTTCACCTGAAGAGGCCTTTCATAATGAAGTCTGGACCAGGCAAACCAGTGGCTGTAAAACCCTAAAAATGAAGACATTCATTTCAGTGAATTATAGCTTCAACGAACACACGGGAATACTAACTTGTGCCGTATAAAATATTGCAAGTGGCAGGGAGGAAAACTACAGTTTACTGTATCAGTCTGTTATAACCATGTTTGTTACATTCATAGCTTTACTGCACTTGTAACAGGAGAAAATGATGCAAACAAACCTGCTGAAATCTTCACCTTCATTTCCAGAGAACAAAGTTCTTTCACTGATATTTAAAAGATCATTTCAAGAATCATAGGTTCCCATTATGAAGTGTGAAACAATATATTTACCCTTTGATCAGGAATACATACATTGGTAACATCTTCAGATTACAAGTATTTAAAAACAATGATTGTCTTAAAGTCTTCAAGTGAAGTAAGATATCTAATTCTTAAAACAATCCTTTTCAAACACATAATTTATAATGATGTTATTTGAAAGAAATATTAGATCCCTTTGGTCAGAAATATATACTGAACTTAAATATCCTCTTAATCTACCATTTAACAGGGGGGTAGGAGTAAAAATGCGGAAATAGGGACGCTAAAATGGTGGACACATTAACATACACACAACTATCTCACACACTTAGGCAGCTCATCCACTGACACACATCTGAGTGACACATGAACACACACTCAACTGTGTCACACATGAACATGCCCTCAACTGTGTCACACATGAACATGCACTACACTGTGTCACACATGAACATGCCCTCAACTGAGTCTCTCACACACATATGCACACACATACACTTAACTGAGTCACACACCCACACATGCTCAACCAGGTCAGACATCAACACATGCTCAACTGGGTCCCACACAGCCCCCTCCAAAAAAACACACACAAACAACAACCCCCAAAAAACAAAAACAAACAAAAAAAAAACACACACACACACACACACACAAACAGGGTCACACAAGAACATTCTCAACCGAGGAGTCACACACACACACACACACACACAGGGGTCACACATGAACATTCTCAACCGAGTCACACACACCCACACACACTCATCAGGGTCACACATCACCACACACTCAACCGAGTCACACATCCCCACACACTCAACAGGGTCACACAAGAACATTCTCAACCGAGTCACACACACTCAACAGGGTCACACAAGAACATTCTCAACCGAGTCACACACCCTCACACACACTCAACAGGGTCACACAAGAACATTCTCAATCGAGGCACACACCCCCACACACTCAACAGGGTCCCACATGATCACATATTGGAACAACATAAGCTAGTCCACATCACAAGCATAGTGGGTTTTATGGAGCCCTGGAATTCGCTCAGGGCATATCTTTGACATATGTGGCTTTGTTTTTTTGTGTGTGTGTGTTTCTTTATACTATTGTGAGCACTTATGTCAGTCATAATTTTGTGTGTGACTTATGATGTTTATTACGCTTATAAAAAGGTTATGTGTGATTTGAAGTTTAACCTCTGAAGACCAGAAGTTTGTGAGTTCCATCTTCAGGTTTATGTGCTGTTTTTGTTGATGTAATCATTCATTTTGTTTTCACATGATATGTTGTCACTCATCCTCAGTGTAGGTGAGAAGTGTTTTAATTTTGTATATCTATGTTCTTTTGTGTGTGATGTTGGGTAAAACAAAAATAATTATAAGGAAGACAACTATTAGCTCAGAGATTGGGAACATGGGATCCAGACACAAACTGGGACCAGGGAACAACAAGAAATAAGATGGGGACGAGGGATCCAGATACAAACGGGGACCAGGAAGGTCCAGATACAAGATGTGTGCCAGAGAGGTCCAGACACAAGATGGGGACCAGAGAGATCCAGACACAAGATGAGGACCAGTGAGATCCAGACACAAGATGAGGGCCAGAGAGGTCCAGACACAAGATGAGGGCCAGAGAGGTCCAGACACAAGATGAGGGCCAGAGAGGTCCAGACACAAGATGAGGGCCAGAGAGATCCAGATACAAGGTCCAGAAACAAGATGGGGGCCAGAGGTGTCCAGACACAAGATGAGGGGCCAGAGAGGTCCAGACACAAGATGAGGGCCAGAGAGGTCCAGACACAAGATGGGACCAGTGAGATCCAGACACAAGATGAGGAAGCCAGAGAGAGGTCCAGACACAAGATGAGGCACAGAGAGAGATCCAGACACAAGATGAGGACCAGAGAGGTCCAGACACAAGATGAGGACCAGAGAGGTCCAGACACAAGATGAGGGCCAGAGAGGTCCAGACACAAGATGAGGGCCAGAGAGGTCCAGACACAAGATGAGGACCAGAGAGATCCAGACACAAGATGAGGGCCAGAGAGGTCCAGACACAAGATGGGGCCCAGAGAGGTCCAGACACAAGATGAGGAGCCAGCCAGGTCCAGACACAAGATGAGGGCCAGAGAGATCCAGACACAAGATGGGGACCAGTGAGATCCAGACACAAGATGAGGAGCGAGAGAGAGGTCCAGACACAAGATGAGGACCAGAGAGATCCAGACACAAGATGAGGGCCAGAGAGATCCAGACACAAGATGAGGACCAGTGAGATCCAGACACAAGATGAGGGCCAGAGAGATCCAGACACAAGATGGGGACCAGAGAGATCCAGACACAAGATGAGAGCGAGAGAGATCCAGACACAAGATGAGGGCCAGACACAAGATGGGCACAAGAGAGGTGCAGACACAAGATGGGGGCCAGAGAGGTCCAGACACAAGATGGGGGCCAGAGAGGTGCAGACACAAGATGGGGGCCAGAGAGGTCCAGACACAAGATGAGGGCCAGAGAGGTCCAGACACAAGATGAGGGCCAGAGAGGTCCAGACACAAGATGAGGGGCCAGAGGAGGTCAAGACACAAGATGGGGGCCAGGGGTACCTAGACAAAAATTGAGACCAGGGTAGAACAAGAAACAATATGGGGACCAGGAGGACCTAGACACAAGCTGGGACCAGGGGCACCCTAGACACAAACTGGGACCAGTGGGATCAAGACACAAGTTGGGAACCAGAGGGATCAAGACAATATGGAGACCAGGGGTACCTAGACACAAGATCGGGACCAGGGGGACCCCAGACACAAGCTGGGACCAGAGGGATGAAGACACAAGATGGGGATCAGAGGGATCAAGACACAAGATGGGGACCAGAGGGATCAAGACACAAGATGGGAACCAGGGGAATCAAGACAAGATCGGGACCAGAGGGATGAAGACACAAGATGGGGACCAGGGTACTCAAGACACAAGATGGGAACCAGGGGGAATCAAGTCACAAGATGGGGACCAGAGGGATCAAGACACAAGATGGGGACCAGAGGGATCAAGACACAAGATGGGGACCAGGGGGATCAAGACACAAGATGGGGACCAGAGGGATCAAGACACAAGATGGGGACCAGAGGGATCAAGACACAAGATGGGGACCAGAGGGATCAAGACACAAGATTGGGACAAGAGGAATCAAGACACAAGTTGGGGACCAGAGGGATCAAGACACAAGATGGGGACCAGGGGAATCAAGACACAAAATGGGGACCAGGGGAATCAAGACACAAGATGGGGACCAGAGGGATCAAGACAAAAGATAGGGACCAGAGAGGCCCAGCATAGACCAAAAAGCAAGATGGGGTCAAGGATTAAAGCAGACAGAAGGTCAGGGTTAGGGCCAGGGGCACTCAAAGACAAGTTTAGCCCAGGGGGATCCAGACACAAGACTGGTCTACATGGACCTAGACTGAAGTTGAGAGCAATGATAGGAACCTAGAAACAAGATTGATTGGAGCAAGGAGGACCCTTGCAGCTTTATGCCTAGAATAGATCACATCTGTCACAACAAATACTATACAAGAGTTGCATCTTCATCCCACTGTCACAGAGAGTGATAGCACATGTTACACAGGAAGAGCATATAACCCTGGAATGTGCCAGCCGTGCTTGTGTCACCCCATGTTACTGATGATAGTTGCATGGTAATAGTCAGATGCACAAGCTCAGTGTTAATATAGGAGTTGCATGGTAATAGTCAGATGCACAAGCTCAGTGTTAATATAGGAGACACGTCTAGTTACCAAAATAGCTTCTTCTTCTGGAGAACGTCTAGATAAGTCTGCTGACATTCCAAAACTCACAAAGATGTTTTCCAAATGAGTATTCCAGGCCATGTTTACACCTATTCTTTGATTCCGATCAATGAATGAATATTTCATGCAGCTCGCGAGAAAGGAACTAAGATGTCCACCATTCAGCTTGTTGAATTGATGACGGGATTGCTACTTAATTACAGAAAGGCACTGAGATTTATCACCAGGAGGTAGCCATGCTGGTAATGCGTCAGTGTACACTGGCAATGTTCAGCAACAAGTGATCTCACACCTGGTACTCACCCTCCATCAACAAATACCTAACAATACTTTTTATGACCATTGTGGAAAATACGGCTCCCATTACATGCCCTCAAAATAGAGGAGTCAGATTCAAATGAACAACCTTCCTACTAAATAACGGTATTCCCCTAACTGCTATTGTTTTATAAACACTCTGGTATGTTGTATTTTTTAAAGGTGAATAACAGTTAAAGCCAAGAAAGAATACAAAGGTTGATGTTCCCATTAAATGAGTAAAACCCGTTTGTCATCCTGACACAATGTTCAAGATGGGTGCAGTGCAGTGTTAGTAGTACCACACTCAGGAATATTTACCTGTGTGACAATAGTCTCTTTAGAATCAAGTGTGGAACAGACAATCCAGTGATTTGCATCACATGCATCAATCTACAAGTCAGTGAGCCAGAAACCTGTATGTCTCAGTTGGCTCTTATAGCAAATATGCATGGGCTGCCAATTCAGAATCAAATCTTCAAGTGAGGTATAGAGCTTTAAACTGGTCTGAGAAATGCTTGAAAAATCATACAAAAAGGGCACGCAAAGAAGAAGCATCACATATTGTAACCATATGGGGATTGAACTCAGACCTTAAGATTGACAAACAAATGCTTGCATCGCAAGCCTACCCTTACAGCCCTCACACATTGTAATGAGTGAGTGGGTGAGTGAGTGAGTTGGTTTAGTTTTACGCCTCTTTTAGCAATATTCCAGCAATATCACGGCGGGGACACCAGTGAGTGAGTGAGTGAGTGAGTGAGTGAGTGAGTGAGTGAGTGTGTACACCAGTGAGTGAGTGTGAGTGAGTGAGTGAGTGAGTGAGTGAGTGAGTGAGTGAGTGAGTGAGTGAGTGAGGTTTCATGCTGAATTTAGCAATATTCCATCACTGCAACAATGAGTGAGTGAGTGGGGTTTTACACCTCTTTTAGAAATATTACTGTGGAGAGCACCACAAAAAGGCTTCACATACTGAACCTATGTTGGGAGTTGAACCCATGTATTTGTTGTGATTATGGAACACTGTAACCACTCGACTACCGTTTCACCCCTGTGGAACCTGCACTTGTCTTCAGTGACACATTCACAGTGAACGGCAAGGATGGGGAGTAAGCATGCTTCATGTCAACAAGACTGAAAACTCCACTACTGCACAATATTAAGGCACAATTCAGCAATATTGTTTCCCAACCTTTTGGCACATCACTACCAGCTTACCCACAGGTAGTACAAGACATTTCACATCAATCCATCACGGGCTATTCCAGGACACGAGGACAGTAATTTCTATAAGTCAGTAATATCTCCTTCAGTTCCTACCTGACTTGTGAGTATAATGCATGTCCCCCTTGCTGGTTGCCATGGTTGCCATGTGTTGCCATGAGACACACAAATCTTCTAACATCTGAAACAGTTGGAGCTAGAAATGAGCATCATTAAACACTTTCTGCATACAAAATTGAAATACACTTCAGACCCTGGATGCATATTTACAGCCCAAATTCAGGAGGTTTTCACAAACTTCACCCAAATAACTTTTTGGGAAGTGTTCAAGAGTTTGAAGGACGACTAGTGGAATTAATCACATCCCAATTGATTTTAGATTCCTGGTAGTCTTACAGGAATTTGGTCTTATAGACATTTTTTGAGAAAAACAGCATTGGCTACTTATGCCATCAAAACTGCTGAGCTCCAACTGGCAACATTTCAAAGGAGGCCAACTTATTGGAGCTTGACATTTGGACAATGGAGGCACAGGATTTACAGGGTGATTATCTGTCTTGGTCCACATGCACTTTACTGTCAGTTGTTTCATCTGTCCATGCCATCAATCAATTCATATGAACAAATATTATCATATCAGCAAAAACATATGAAAAAAATAATGGCTGTTGTGGTTGCTATGTTCACAATCACATCTGAATTCTGTACACGGTTTTACCAAATCTCTTTTTCAAAATGTACAAAAAGTCTTCACATTCTCAGTAGGTTGTTTCAGAAGAGATGTTGATTCACTAGATAAGTAGTGCATGTGAGTGAGTTGTGTAATGCACCTCCCTGGACGTTACTGAAGTCGCATTATCTTGTGACAGCTTAATGTGGGGAAGTGCCTGAGATAATGCCAGACAGTAATGGTTCGGTGAAACCCTCAAACACGGGCGTGGCCCTGACAAACCCACGATGATAATCACAGCCACTCTGGAATATGAACCTACAGGAACCTAGCCGGCACGCCTGGGGGCGTCACTTTGTACAACAAACTGTGTCCCAGTGGATGACTGGGCACCACCCCATGTCCCCCACATGGAGGTAAATGTAGCAATATATAGTAATACAGGCCATGAGGGTCTGTCAACAAATAACGTATCAACATTTAGAACATGGAAAATATATACTTGCTCATCAAACCAAAAGTTCATTATGGACAAATAAACTGAAGGGCTAAAGAAACGTTAACGCTTTGAAATTGAAATTACCAAAAATTCCAAAAGCAGCTGCAATTACCATCACATAAAAACACATCACCCAACTGCAACAATGAGTTTTCCACTTGGAAATAAGGCATGCAATGCATGCTTTTTCACCAATTTGTCCATTATATGGTTTGCATGTTTTTCACGCAAAAGTGAAAAGATTAAATGCCAAATGGGTATAAAACCAATGCAAATGGGTTGTCAGACATTCATTCTTTTAAAAAACACCAAAAGAATGGCACGATTAACTTTGCGACAACGAGAATGGGCGATCGGAATGATAAAATGGGATCATCAACACCCACGTTGCAAGAAGGCTTGGCTGTCATCGCGTCACCGTCACCAGACTCATGCAGGGATACCGTCAGACAGGACTGACCTCAGACAGGCCACGGTCAGGCAGACCTCAAGTCACAACTCCCCAGGAGAACCAGTATCTGCCCATGTTGCATCTCTGAAACCGCTTCCTGACGGTGACGTCATCAGCGGCGTGCATGGCTTGGTCACCGTGTAAGCCGATACACAGTAGCCAGACGACAGAGGTCCTTGATACACAGTAGCCAGATGACAGAGGTGCTATGGAATCTGGGTTTACAGACCTTTCCGGGGACAGCAGTTGACTGCCAAACATCGTCGACGGAGACTTCGATGGCCCATACGGTTCGACTCAATGTTGCAGCAATGTGAGTGGCAGAGGTTGCTATTCTCTGATGAAAGCCTCTTCTCTCTGTTCATTTTGTTTTATGGATCTATCTTTTATGGTTATTTCACAATAGTGTTTTTAATCTATATTTGTGTTTCTTTAGCCCATCAGTTTACATAGGCATTTCTTGTAAGTAGACAGATGACAAAGTAGACAAAAAGTTTACTGACAACAACTTCTTTAATATACTGAAATAATGGCATTTTGGTCCAGATCTGTTTACTTGTGTCAGTGAATAATGAACAATGTACAGATGTAGATATGGTAGGGAAAGGAGTAACAGCAATCATTATCAGCATCAGTAAACATTTAGCATGATATAAAAGAAATAGACAGAAGTTATTTTCCATAAGCTTTTTGTTTTCTTTGGACAAATGACTACTATATTTAACATGATAAATATGCTGAAATCAACTGAAGAATAATTTCACATAGAACCATGCCCCTGATAAATTATTTTCAGCCGACATATGGTTTCCAGATGACTGGGATGACACACAATGTGCCATTAGATATAAAATAATAGAAATAAACGGAAATTTGTAATGCCCTACTGGCCATCTGTGGAAACATGCTATGACCTATATTACTCTGGTCACTGGATCACAGTGCATTTTGTCTCTCAGCTACCTGGGGAGTGTACACTTACCCACGGCATCTGTAAGGTGTGAGAAGGGTCACAGTAACATGACCCATTCACTGCTGGGTGAACAGAGGCATATTTCAAACAAAGTTTTAGTACCCACCACATGTGTTAGATGTGCTAGGGAAGGACCTTTCAATAATCAGCTGCCAAACACGTCACCCATCAAACTAGATTCAGCAATCAATATTGCTTAACTTTGTTTATTTAGTGACCAGCTTGTTGTACAAAGGATCGGTCATCACCACAAATCGCCTCTGACCAAAGTGGCTATGTTTCCCACATTAAACAACCACTTGAAAGTGGTAAACCGAAACGCTGTTTAAACTGCACACTGCAAAATTAACATTCATTGGTGAAACAGATATATGTTCATTGAATCATCAATCTAATTACTTCAAATGTTACTCTCTTCCCAAAGACAAACATCAATGCTTACAAACATGTGCGTCATATCATTATATACTGTTACTAGGCGGCGATGTTTCAAACAAAGCATAGCAAACCTATTAAAAGTAACATGATGAAATTCAACACTAACACTGTCATACTTGCATGACCAGTCTT